TAAAAGTTCGGATTATTATAAGAAGATACCTATATAAGTTGGGATTATTCCAGAATAGTCAAAAGTTGGGATTATTAAAAGAAAATCGATCAAAGTTGGGATTATTAAAACCAATTTTTCCTATTTAATTGAGTATTAATCACAAAACACGATCAAAGGAAAGTGTGTTAATGATGCTAACCTCAAAATGTGTCAATTAAAAAAAAAAAAGATTGGAGGTAGTATTTTTTTTAAAAGTAAGATACATGAAGGAGATTAGGACGTTTTCTCACGAGACCGTGACCTAATCTATCAAGGAGTAAAAAATAAGAAAATTTACTATCTAGAAATGGATTTATATCTTGATGAGTCGGAGTTGAATGGCCGAGAGAGGCAGCCGATTCCCTTCCCGATAGATATGTCTTACCTGAAAGCTCGAGAAATAATCCAAAATAGCCTTAATATCTGCCATAAGAAGATGAAGTTTCCGTGGACAGCTGAAATGACCCTGCAAAATATTATAACTGTCAGATTATCTCCTTCAATTAAATATCGGAAATATTGTATTCCCTAGCAAGAAGGAGTCCATTGCAAAGGGTAATAGCTTCTGCAAGGAAGGCCGGACAAGAGCCTAAATTATAGGTACAACTGGCCACATGATTACCCAGATTGTCTCGAGTGACCACACCTGCAGTAGTAGAATTCTGATTGGATGAGCCATCAAAATTAAGTTTACAAAAAACTAATGAAGGAGGAGCCCAAGATATGAAGGGAGGGGGGGTAGGAGGAGGTAGCGGAGGTGATGCAATAGTAGGACTATAGATGGCATCAAGAAGTGAGCAAGATTCCCATTCCTTAAACAAAGAAAAATCTCGTATAAAAAAACTATGAAATTAGCATAAAAATTCTTACAAATAAATGCATTACAACGTTTCCAGGTAGTATGGAGTAGAGGCTGTCTAAAGGGAGTCTTGATATGCATGAACAAACGCATATCAAGGGCCAAGACTGTAAAACGCATGCTTTTTGAGCAGATGAGTGGAAATCTACCTCACTTCCCGTTTTACTTTTTGTCAGGTCGTTTTCATAACTTTCCTATTTCTTGAGTATATTTGGGCGAATTGTACAGTATAGACTTTGGTGTAGTCTGGCTTCGTATTTTGTATTTGGGTCATATACTAGACATGTTCAATGGTTTAGGGGCCCATTTAAAGCCCTGACCAAGCCCTTTTATAAAAGGGTTTTATCCGTCCAATATTTAAATGGAGCGGGCTTTTAAAGGGTTATTAAATAATAGGCTTTTAAAAGGTTGGGTCTAAGTTAAAAAGGGCTGAAATTGGGTAACTCTTACGAGGCTTTTTTAATCCTAATTTTTCTGTTTCTAAAACTTCCTAACGTCAAATTATGATACCTTGAAAATAAAAATTCCCAATTTCCCCAAATTATGAACCCCAAAAAAAAATTCCCAGATTCCTAACGTCAATCTTCTTGCTGCTGCTCTCAATCTTCAATTTATTACCCTTCTTCTTGCTCGCCGCTCTCAATCGCGGATTCCATCATATCACTTCAACTACTAAGGTAATTGTTTCTTTAATTTGGATTTTGGTCTATAATGATATTTTTGTGTATTAAATGGGTTTTTGTTTCTCTAATTTGGGTTATTTCTATGTTATTTACTTTGCTGATTGATGTGGATTGCTAATTTGTTGATGAAGAAAAGTGAAATTCTTGGATTTTTGTTTTATTAAATAAGGTTTTCTGATTTTGATTGCAGAGATTTTTGTTAGGTGTTCTGGCTTTTATGGGTTTATTTTTGATCCAATGTTGCGCTATGAATTTATTGTACAACTATAGCGTAGCATCCTCTCTGTTTTTCCTACTTCACTATATTCTTCTTGTATCATGAATTTTTAATTTGCTTGTTTAAATAATTTGTAGTACACCAAATACGAGCTTGTGGATAGATGCTATGACATTTTAAATTTGCTTGCTTAAATAATTTGCAGTACACCACATATGAGCATGTGGATGCTATGGCTAGCAATGGGTTTATTTAAGATGTACTCCATATATAATTGGTATCATTGCAACTCCAAGGCTAAGCAAAAAAAAAAAAAAAAAAAAAAAGACCTGGATAGTGTTCTGCTAATTGGAACAGTGGGTTAATAATTATTATTTACCTACTTTTGCAGTTTTTTTTTAACCATGGAAAGTAAAGAAACTACAACGTCAATGCCGGTAGATGATGAGGTTGATGAATCTAATGCCGCTCGTAAGCCTAAAAGGAGTAGGAAATCTAATGTTTGGCAAGAAATGACGGAAGGAAAGAATGCAAAAGGTGAGCGAAATGCTATTTGTAAGCATTGTAAAGTGGAGTTAATTGCCCACAAAAATAGTGGCACATCTCATTTAATACGTCATTTGCTTGAAGTGTGTAAAAATGAACTAATGGACTTCCACTTGGGGAGGCGGTTGATGATGAGGAAGAATTTGTTTTTAATATGAGTGAATTAAGAAAGGAGATTTTATTGTATGTTGTTGAAGGTTCTCATTCTTTTTTGATCGTGGAAGAAAAAGGTTTTAGGCGAATGATGTTAAAGTCTAATTCTAAATTTAAACCATTTAGTCAAACAACTTTAATTAGAGACCTTTTTTTCTTTGTATGCCTCTTATAGAAAGAAATTAAATTTTTTTTGAGGAGTGCACCTGGACGAATATGTTTGACAACTGATAATTGGAAATCATCACACACTTGGCAACATTACATTTGCATAACCGCCCATTTATTGATCATGATTGAAAACTTCATAAAAGGATCATTAAGTTCACATCATTGTCACCCCCTTTTGATGGACAAAGCATCTCCGAAGAGATTTTTATGTTTCTTAACCAATGGCATTTAGACGACAAAGTGCTGAGCTTAACGGTTGACAATGCAAGTTATAATGATGTGATGGTTAAGCACATGAAAAATCGTCTTAGATCAAGGGGAATGTTGGTTAGTGGTGGTTGTTTTTTTTCATATTAGATGTTGTGCTCATATCATCAATCTTATTGTCCAATCCAGTCTAACTTGTATTGAACATATTAGATAAAATTAGAAAATTGGTAAAATTTGTTATAAGATCTTCTTCTAGAAGCAAGAATTTTTATGATACTGCTCAAAAGCATTTTCATTTAAAGGCTAAGAGGAAACTTCATATGGACATGCAAGTTCGTTGGAACTCTACATATATGACGCTTGATAATGTGCTTTACTATAAAGATGTGTTTATTCATTTGGGGTCGTTACATGCATCTTTCAAGAGTAATGTGCCTTTGGAGGATGAATGAGATAAATTGAGTGTTGTTCACAAGTTTTTGAAACTTTTTTATGATGCTACATGTATGTTCTCGGCAATTCTTGACCCTAGGTTTAAGTTAGAGTTTGTGGAGTATTGTTTTGACAAGATATATGGTTCGGATGAGGCTATGTATAAAGTTGAAAAATCTTTGTATAATGAGTATAAGTCAACATTTTCAACTTCCCCAATTGTTGCTCCCTTTACTACAAGTAGTAGGATTGAAGATGAAAGCTTCTTTGATGATTATCAAAGCTATAGTTCAAGAATTACAAGGACTCAAACAAAAAAGTCCCAACTTGAGTCATATATGGAGGAATCGGAGCTTGATTTCATATAAAGCCCGGCCTAGCACGACCTGTTGAACAGGTCTAGTCACATGCAATTAGATTAGTTTTACCTCACTCTCTCTCTTCCAGTTAGTTTTCTGGAAAATTTCCCAAAGTAAGTCTCTAAGGGAAACAATTTCCCAAAGTAGACGCGTGGCAAAACTAATTACCAAACTAAGCTTCCAGGGTAAAACGCCAACCAGGCTGGCGTTTTTACCCTGGGCATTTAATTTTTACTTTTCAGTCAAGGCAAAAACGCCATCCAGACTATTCGCTTGATAGAGCAACAACCTACATTTCTTTCCTCATACAATGCAAGCTCGTTACAAATGCCCTCATATAACATTCCGTCATCTGAATATGGAATGGGATCTTTCAGTAGAATGTTACACGACGATCAATTTGACATTCCATTCAGTTCACATTTTACTGCACCTGTATATGAAGGGGCGTCGGTGTCAATGTTGCAGCAACCTGGTCCATCTACCTCAAACAATGACATTTCATCACCGATGCAGTTGCAAAGTTACTCTACTACGCAAGAACATGTTCAAGCAACACCGTTTCAAACTTTGGTGAATGTTGAACCTGTTGTAAACAATGAATTGTCTGTTCTTGATATGTATGATGATACAAACGAGGAGGGTGAAGGCGGAGATGAGGAAGATATTATAAACAATGAGTTGTCTGTTCATGATGTTGTTGCTAGAACTCCATTGCCTTGGTTCACTCAAATAAACGAGAACTATGAGGTGGACATGTATTGGGCTAATTCGGGGAGCCAAACTTTGTTTGTTGTCGGGGGAGAATTTGAGAAGGGCATGATTTTCGACAGTAAGAAAGTGCTGCAGGAAATGGTGAAATTGTATTCCATAGAACAGAATCAGTTCTACACCACGGTGACGTCGAATGAGAATGTTCTTCATCTTAAATGCAAGAGGGAGTGTGGTTGGTCGCTACATGGTACAAAAACAAATCTGACCACACATGCCTTTAAGATTGTGTCTTATAAGGGCCCACATCGTGAGAACTGCGTGAATGAAGTTCCGCCCAGCGATCACCGACACTTGGACTCCTCCATAATATGTGACTATGTGAAGTCATTTGTGTAGAAAGATCCATGTTTGAGAGTTGAATTCATACAACATCTCATCTCCAACAAATTTCAATTCGACATCCTTATCGAAGAGCGTGGTATGCCAAACAGAAAGCTATTGCGAAAATTTTTGGGGATTGGGAGAGTTCTTACAACAAACTTCCTTCATTCATGCAAGCCCTCCAAGAGTCAAATCCGGGCACCGTATTTTTATGGAAATACAAAGCTATTGTTGAAGGCGTTTATTACAGCAACATGGAGGTGTTTGAACGAGTGTTTTGGGCCTTCAAGCCTTGCATCGATAGGTTCAAACATTGCATGCCTGTTTTGTCTATCGATGGGACACACTTGTATGGGAAATATAAAGGCACACTTTTGGTTGCTACAAGTGTTGATGCTAATTTTCAGGTATTTCCTCTAGCATTTGCAATAGTTGAAGGGGAAAACACCTCCAGTTGGTCGTGGTTTCTCAGCTGCATTCGGGTTCATGTTACTGGTCGAGAGGGCCTATGTGTTATATCTAACCGACATGGTGCAATTATTGCTGCAATGAGTAACCCGGATGTTGGATTTCATGAGCCACGGGCCGTTCACAGGTTTTGCGTTCGACACATGGCCTCTAACTTGAGGACTCATGTGAAGAACAACAACATGAGAGATAGGTTCAAGGTTGTTGCTTACCAACGCCGAGAAAAAAAATTTGAGGAAGATATGCGTTCTATCGGCAAATCTTGTGTCAAGTCCCTAGAGTACATTATGGATGTACCATTTCATAGGTGGTCCTTGTTTCATGACGCTAGTCGTAGGTATGGTATATGTACTGCAAATTTCTTAGAAACATTTAACAATGTGTTGAAGGGAGCTCGTTTTCTGCCGATCATGTCCCTTGTCGAGTTAACTTTCCACAGAGTTAACAAGTACTTTAACACAAGAAGGGATAGTTCACTTGCTAGGCGTGCCGACAGATATGCATACTCACCTTAGGTCACTGCCATTTTGGAGAAGAATAACAGAAAGGAAAAATACCATACAGTGGATGTTTATAGCCGTCAACTTGGTATATACCAAGTACATACACACCGGGGAGAGAGGATAGGCAGAAAAGGGGTTCATAAGCATACCATTAACTTCAATTTGAGAACATGTACACGCAACAAGCCGATGATATTTCACCTACCGTGTTCTCATGTTCTAGCCGTGTGTCTTAAGTATTCAGTTTCTCAGGAACCATGGGTGGACAGTTTCCTACAATCAGAGGCATATGCGAATACTTATGCCCCACAGTTCTGGCCTATTCCTTGTGAGACGACATGGAGGACATACAGAGGGCCTAAAATCATTCCTGATGAGAGCATGGTCCGAGGATGTGGTCGGCCAAAGTCGAAGCGTATACGAAATGAAATGGATGAGACTAACCGTCCACCAAGCAAATGTAGTTGTTGTAGTCAGGAAGGACACAATAAGAGATCTTGTCCGTTTCGAACGGGCGGTGACCGGTAGTGATCTTAGTTTATGTCTTATTTTAATACCATGTTGTGTGTATGTTTGCAATTAGGATGTAGCTGACTTCTAGTTTTACATTGTGCACTGAACAGAGATCATGGAGGGACAGGAGCAGTGGCCGCCACGACATGACCCAGGACCAGCTGACCCTTCTATCCTGACACTTCAAGACACCCATCGGAGTCGTGACATATGGGAGCAGACAGTAAGTTTTCATCTACCAAATATTTAATGTTTTGGCATTTTTTTTGTTAACTGATCCAACAATGTATTTTATGTTGTTGTACAGGGTGATCCAGCACGGTGCTTGCTTTGCAGGCACCACGGTGGAAGATTGGGTCGTCGACCTGCGTGTGCTACAATACATCGATTTTGTGGTTTTCGGCGGATTTCACAGGATGGCCTTCACACCGATAGATCGAGCGCCAATTATTGCGCTCGTTGAGAGATGGAGACAGGAGACTCACTCCTTCCATCTACCAGTTGGGGAGGCCACCGTCACGCTCCGAGATGTGGCGATACTTACACGGCTCCCAATACATGGTAGGGTAGTTACAGGGCCCATTATACAGGACCCTCGTGGCCTTGTTGAGAGAATGTTAGGGGTGAGGCTTGAGGCCACTGATATTAGAGGCAAAGGGCGTTACGAGAGACATTTGGGGAGTTGCCTCCTGATGCTGATGATGGGGTCGTCTAGAGATACGCTCGAGCGTACCTGTTCATGTTGATAGGATCATTGTTTAGTAACAAGAGTGGTAGTCACATATAGTTGATCTACCTACGGGTGTTAGAGAACAAGTGGGAGGGTATACGTGACTACAGCTGGGGTAGTGCGTTTCTGACAACCTTGTATCGACATCTTTGCAGAGCATCCCAGCGAGGTAGATGGGAGATCGGCGGTCCCTTGATTGTGCTTCAGGTAGCCCTTTACTTTCATACCATTTTCTACCTATTACGTACTTAACGGTGGCTAGACTTAACTTGTGTTTGTTTATTACAATTATGGGCTTGGGAGCACATCCACGTTGGTAGGCCAGCTAAGCCTGCTAGTCGTCGACGCTAGAAGGAGGAAGACGATCAAGAGCATGCATATGAGGCGCCGCCACTCCCTCCACCAGACTTGGCATACGGTTGCCGGTATGTATGACTTATTGTTAAGATTTCACATATGGTTTTAATTTGCTATTAATTTCTCATGAACACTATTATTATACATGTAATTAGGTGGCTGGTGCGGAGACTTACTCGTGTGCATGCAACGAGGGGTCTGCCGTATTACAGAGATGCATTCGACAGACTGAGCGAGTCTCAGGTGATAGTTCACTTTAAAATCTAATTTAACACCCCGTCCATTGTTTTAATAAGTTAATTATGATGTTAACGACAGCTTGTTAATGCAGATGACGTGGGATCCGTATGTCCCTGACCTAGTCAATGCCATGCCTCAATACCTTCGTGATCATCAGATGGAGTGGCGTGTCATGACAGTTCTCATCTGTTTTGAGGTAGTGGAGGCTCACCTCCCCGATAGGGTCATGCGACAGCTCGGCCTTTGTCAGGCCGTCCCTGCCTCGTGTAACACTAGTGTCCAGTTGCACAGGACAGATCGACGAGGAAAGGGGGACGTGAACTGGGCAGTTCAGCATGCCCCTTTCATTGACATGTAGGACCAGCGGTTGCAGCACGTCGCGGATGGTGCGCCTTTCCAAGGCGTGATGGAGTATCACGGTCCATACATGGTATGGTACAGGAAAATTACCCGACGCTTCATCAACCCTAACTACACCCCACCCTCAACGCATTACCAGCCAGCTTTTGGAGACATCAGTGGATATGTGAGTTTTTGGTGTCAATTTTTTTTTTCCTATTTATAATTTGTTGTATTATTAAATTGACTTATTGTTGACTAATGTAGGCGTTTGATATGCTTGCTATACATGACGCAGTGGAAGTCTTGAGCATATCATATCCCACCATACCACAGTTGGATGAAATTCAGGCAATGACTGTGAGTAGCTTATAGAGACATGGTCATGGCCACCTTATCCAGGGTCGGGACCAATCACACCGCCGTTCACACCGTCTTAGAACTTCTTCTGTTAGTTTGTTGTAATCAGATTCTCTAGTACATTATATCCAAACAAATATTATCAATTTTACTGACCTTTTTAGTTGATTTTCTGTACATTATCAACTTCACCATACGTATTCATTCTTTTCATTGTACTGCTTGTTGTTGTTGTTGTTGTTGATGGCGTTGTTAATGTTGCTGATGTTGTTATGGTTGTTGTTGTTATGGTTGTAGTTGTTGTGGTTGTTGCTCTTCTATTGTTGTGGTTGTCATTGTTGCTGCTGTTGTTTTGATTGTTGCTGTTGTTGTTGCTGTGGCTTTGGTTGTTGCTGTTGTTGTTGTAGCTGCTGTTGTTGTTGCCGTGGTTGTTGATGTTGTTGTTGTAGTTGCTGTTGTTGTTGCTGCTGTGTCTGTGGTTGTTGCTATTGTTGTTGTACCTGCTGTTGTTGTTGCTGCTGTTGTGGTTGTTGCTGCTGTGGCTATGGTTGTTGCTATTGTTGTTGTAACTGCTGTTGTTGTTGCTGCTGTTGCTGTGTTTGTGCTGAGTGTTGCAGATAAAAACGTCAACCAGGCTGGCGCTTTATGGGGAGGAGTAAAACGCCAACCATGGTGGCGTTTTTACCTTGGGTAAATTTTTTTTAAGAAAATTCAGTCAGGGTAAAAACACCACCCTGGATGGCGTTTTTGCCTTGACTGAAAATTAAAAAAATTAAATTGTCAGGGTAAAAACGCCAGCCTCATTGGCGTTTTACCCTGAAAGCTTAGTTTGGTAAATAGTTTTGCCACGCGTCTACCTTGGGAAATTGTTTCCCTCTTCGACTCACTTTGGCAAATTTTCCTAGTTTTTCTATCTCTGTCTCTCAATCTTTCCTCTATCGTCACCATCTTTCTAAAGTAGTTTATCACCATCGCCGGTCGGTTCGTGCGTCGTTGGATTGTAGCTGGGTGGCTGGTTTTGGCGCGTGGAGAAACGAAGCAGTGTAGGCGAGGAATAGTGAAGAATTTAAAGAAAGTAAGTAAATTCTTTTTAAATCTATAATTTTTCCCCAAATTAATCAAACAATTTTAGGGTAGAAGTACTGTATCATTTTCCACAAATTGAGTTAGGGTTTTTATACTGCGGATGTATTAGGGTTTAAGGCGGGGCTTGTGGTATATTTATTTATTTATTTATTTTTATCTCAAATCAGTATTAGAGCTTAAGAATTATATACAATTTGATGATTCTAACGCCAATTACAATTTTCCCCAAATTGTGAGTTAGGGTTTCTATAATTGGGATGAAGTTGGGTCTTTGCAGTGTATTTTTATCACAAAACAATATTAGGGTATAAGAATTATATACAATTTGACTATTGTAACGGCAATTTATAATTTTCCCTAAATTGTGAGTTAGGGTTTTTATAATGGCAATGTATTTGGGTATAAGACGGGGCTTTAGGTGTTAACTTCTTGCAACTTTATATTTTATTACTGAAACAATGGTAGGTAACTTTAAGCTCAATTTTGTTTGATTTAATTGAGCTTCTTGAAAGAATTCTCCCAAATTTTAATTATTTGAAAGGTCATTTAACTTTGTTTGATTTAATTATTGTGAATAATAATCCGGATGAACAACTGTGTCCCCCTTTTTTGATTTAATTGAGCTTGTTTTGGTTTTGGAGTGATTTAATTGAAATTGAATCTGTGTGCAATATGATGTTCACAGTACCTGAATTTGTGAAAAGCTGTGATATAGGAATTTGGAAGAAAACCTTGGAGAAAAAATCTCAGTGGTGCTGACCTTGAAGAATGTGGCCAAGATGATGTGCATGTTAAGGATTTCTTGCCTGCAATGAAAGCTGTTTGTGATAGACTTGAGCAAGCCGAAGGCAAGGTCTGCTCTATTTGAATTTGTGAATCTGAATAATTTTTGTGAAGGCATCTTTGAATTATTGGTCACCTAGTATTATTGATTGCAATGGTCACCTTATTTTTCAGTGGCACTTTTTTTCCTTGAAGGTTCTCGTGATCTCACATATAAAATAGGAGCTTGGCTATCGAGAAACGAAAGGACATATAGCTTGGAGGTTTACTTAAGGTTTGAAATCAGAGGATTTGATTAAGGTTTATGAATCTTTAAATGATACTAGGAGATTGGCTAGTTATCACTCTACTCTTTTGCTCCCGTTGTTGTAAGTTTCTGAATTTTAATTTTACTTATTAATTCATGGTAATTGCTGAATCTGTTTCTTAAAATAGTATTATAATGTATATATTGGGAATTTAGGGAACCGGTTGTTGTGGTGTTGGTGAAGGCTATGAAGAATCCAAGAAGTGCTTTGTGCAAGACATCTATTATGGCTGCTACTAATATCTTTGTTACTTGTCATGATAAGTTGTTGGAACCTGATTTCTCTGGTGGTTTTGAGTTTTGACAATTTGGTAAAACCTCGTTTATTAGTTCTTGCTCCTACTATGTGCATTTTTTCACAAGAATGGCTGAATTTTGTAGAGTTCAACCTTTTGTCATATGTTTTATCCATGTTATTCGTTGCCCGATGATCTAATTTTCCAATTTTAGATTAAATTGAGTGGTGTTTGGCCGACAAATAATTGTTGGTTGGGGAAAAAGATCGAGAACTTTATGAAAGACTTTGGGGCCTGTAATTATTTCTCCTTATATCTATGTTGGTGGTTCGTTGTCTTTATATCTTGTTCATGATGTTATTGGTCTTTCCTCTAGTAATGGTTTATCATCTATTGTTTGTTTAAGTTTAAACTTGTTTTCATATGAACTTACCTGTATTGAATCATTGCTTCTTTCGTTTCCCTTGTCTATTTATTTGGCTAGTTATGTTTGTTTAGTTATGCAAATATTTTGTGTTTGATTTCATGAATTATTAGCTATTTGATATTTAGCTTAGTGATGGACACTGATCAGATTTCAAGGAAAGAGACACAATTCGTTTTTTAAATCACTTTGTTCTCGTTGGAACAGTTTGAAGGTCTGACTTCTCTGGGCTCATTCTCCTTTGTTGCAAACTCTTTTCAGGTGATTCTTTTTTTGAATTTGGGTGATTTTTTGTCTACTCTTTGGCTGTTAAATTTCAGGTTTTTTTGAGTTTGTTTGCTAAACTGGGTTGTCTTCTGAAAACTGGTCAATTGTGGTTCGATTTGGTATATGCTTCTGTTTTAGTTCATTTTTCTTAGAGTTGTGCTGCGATTTTTGCTGGTATATTCATGTGTGGTTTAGGGTGTTTTAAGAGTGCTTTGCTCATATAAATTGCATCCTTGCTACTGCTATACTCTGGTTTCTTGCTTTGTTTTGTGCACATATTTTGTGCGTATCGTAAAACATGGGTGAAGAAGATATAAACAAACTGGAGGAAAGGTTGACTGATCAAGCGGAAGCTAGCTTTGATGCCATTGCTAAGTTGTTACAAGTTCGTAAAAAGAAGAAAGAATGGAAAGATAATGATGATGAGTTTTCAAGTATTCTTTGCTATTCTGAAGTGACAGACAAGTCCGGTTTTAAGTATATATTCAAGTTAGCATTTTTGAGAAATAGATATCTTGTTTTTTTGTTCTTGGAAGATGGAATGATTGATTTTAATGTAGATACATGTACTGATATTATTACACTTTGGAATTGTAATTGATTTTTTTTTTTTTTTTTGTTTTGGAAAATTGTAATTTTTTTTTTTAGATCGAAGTGTAATATTGCAGTTTATTGATATTTATTAAAGAATATTTCTAATTTTATAATTTTGTAAGTCTTTAAGTATCAATTTAAGGAAGAAATTGCAGAATATACTATATAGGTTGACAGGCTTCATTTCATTTTAAATAAAAAATATAGAAAAGGCTACGGTTCTGCTGAAAAAATCGTAGCGTTTTCGTATTTTTTGCTATGGTACCCTTATGTATGTCGGTCGTACTCTTTTGTATTTCACTGTTACCTTTGGATAATAATGTGGAATGTAACCCTACAACATTAATAAGGGAAAATATATCTATAAATCTACCTATTAGTGGTTTTTGATTCTAAGAATGGGGTATGCATGTTAAATTTAATTTGTAATGTATGGAGGCTAACGGTGCAGTTATATTGTTTAAATGACTAAAATTGGGATATTTGTAATTGGTTCATATTTTTTAAAAAATGCTCTAAACATCTGTTGATTCTACTTGGTTTGTATCGTTGACAAGTTGAATAAATTGTAGTAAGTTATTAAGTGTTATATCATAAATAAGTTGGGTAATCTATTATAGTCCAATCGGTTCCTTCATATTTCCTATGTCCCTATATTTTTTTGCCCCATTTCACTTTTCAACTTTGTGATTTAACATAAGACCCTAAATTAGTTTTTTTTTTTAGGAATTTACGGCTGTGGTGGTACCCTAATAGGTCCCAAAGGTACCCTCGTGGATGCCAATTGTACTTTTGTTTTACTCGATGATGTATGTGTTTCAGTTGTACTGTACCCTACGATATTATAATGGAACCCTTTTAATATGCAGTGATACCATTGTGACATTAAAGGGTACTTAGTTCTTATCTACCATTTGCTCTTGTATTTTGAATAATAGTTGAATCAGATATAATATCAGTGGTACCCTTCTGTGATTTAATGGTACCCTTATGTATGAAAAAAGCTATAATGAGTAATCAAATAATGTATTACATAAATAAATTGTGCCATTTATGAGTAATCAAATGATATATAGCATAAATAAATCGTGACATTTATGAGTAATCAAATGACATTTATTCATTTTGTTCTAGGCAAAAAAGTAAGTCAAAAATAGTGATTGAATACTGCATAATTAGTTAAAGTGATTTTCCAAGGAAGTGATCTTGACAGTTTTTTTTTTGCTCCCTCCGTGTTTGAATAAATGAAGTGTTTTGACTTTTTGCACTATTCATCTAATTCACCTTGACTAATGTTTGTGATTATACATAAGAATAAAATGGTCGTGTAGGTACTTAATGGAATCGTCTAATTGTTATAATTTTTATTTATTGATAATTAAAGATATTTTCAGTCAAAGTTTTGATTGGCATATGTGCACAAGGAAAACGTTTCACTGAACATTTTAGGATTCCACTTAAACATTATAAGGTTCCACTTAAACGTTGTAGGGTTCCACTGAAACAAGTAAGGGTATGACTCTATAGGGTGAATTGCAGGGTTACACTCACATAATGAAGGGATCCACTAAAACATTGTAGGGTTCCTCTAAAAAAATGTAGGGTTCCATTGAAACAATGAAGGGTACAACTTTTCGATTATGTTTGCAGGGTTATACTTGTACAATGAAAGGTTCCACTAAAATAATGTAGTGTTCCAATGAAACAATAAAGGGTCATGATCAAGTTCATTACACATAGATAATATACATAGCCTTCTTGAAGCTGCATTTAACATCATCAAGTTCACAGAATTGTCCAAAAAAACTCAAGATAACCACGGACACTTTGTTTGTATCGTTGAAGTCTTCTTGGTTCGTATCATTGGAAAGTTGAGCGAATCATAAATAAGTTGGATTAACTCTAATCTAATATAGTCCGATCGGTCTTTCATATAATGTAGTGACTTATATTTGTAATAACAACCTTGGCATATATATAACGTTCACAATTATAACGTATACAATTGTATAGTGTTCACTTACATTTACAAATTCTACTTATAGAGAGAAAGAGAGAGATAGATAGTTCAAGTGGTTAAAATTTGTCTTCCGATTCAGATCGATTCTCATCATCACCCACTCTCGTGGCTCTTTCTGATTAAATAACTTCTACTTTTTGATGTAATTACTTTTGTACTTTTTTACTTTACCATGAAAGAAAAATCATTAAATTTTATGATAGCATACAAATTCTTATTTGTGCATTAAAGTGTGTGTACGTTGTTGTTATTTGAATTATAGTCATTTAATAAAGACCCTAAAATATTTTTTTAATAGAATTTAGGGTTGTGGTGGTACCCTAGTAGGTGCCCATGGTACCCTCATGGATGTCAAGTGTACTTTTATTTTGATCAATGATGTCCGTGTTTTAGTTTTACCCTACAATATTATAGTGGAACCCTTTCAAAATGTAGTGATATCATTGTGACATTAAAGGGTACTTATTCTTATCTACCATTTGCTCTTGTATTTTGAATAATAGTTAGAATCAAATATAATACCAGTGGTATCCTTATGTAAGTTAGTGGTACTCTTCTGTGATTTGATGGTACCCTTTTGTATGAAAAAAGCTATAATGAGTAATTATGAAGTTTTATTTTTATTATTTTCTATTAAAAAACTGAGACAACATATATAATTGCAGTCTCTCTTTCTTTTTTAACTGCACAATTCAATATATTTAAAAATAAATTACAAAGTAATATTATTTTATTATATATAATTATTTCAAAAAATAAATTTCATCTTCATGTAACATTTAAAAAATAAAATACAAGTATTTCATACTTGTAAATAATTATTCAAAACCCACTAAATATAAAATCCTCCTATCATTTCATTGATACTATAATCTAGCTATATTAATAAAAAATAAAAAAATAATAAAAAAAAAATCAGGCTTAGAACTAAAAGCAACTATTAGGTAGATTTATAGATGGATTTTCCCTTCTTAATATTATAGGATTACACTACACATCATTATCCAAGGGTACCACTGACATACAAAAGGGTACCACTGACATAAATAATGGTAACATTAACATTGTTAATAATAAAACTAATAAAAATGTACCACTGAGATATATGCTAACAATGCCCTGTACTAACATTTTCATGTTCACATTTTTTGCATCCAAAATTAACTAGTACCCCAAAAAAAAGATTTATACATGATCAACAACATTCACTAGTAGAATCGAAGCATAAAATACTTAATTGAACATTAGAGTGTGTGCACGTTGTGCTCATTTTGCTGATTTATTGCGTTTAGATTTTTAATCTGGTTGGTAAAACACATGAACAACAACATTCACTAGTAACGTAAGATTCCATTAAAAGAAGCCCCTAAAGGCGGATTTGAGCTTTTAGCAGAAACTTGACTAAACCCCACCATTACCTTATACTTAAATTCAAACGAAATCAATTTCGGAAATTAGTCCTAATTACATCATTTCCAACAAGTATCAAACCCTAAGAGAGTGAAATCAAATTAAAAGAAGACAATTGCGAAATTGAAGATACCTTGTACGAAATCAGAGAAATTTTTTAAGGTTTTTGAGAATCGGGAAGAAGATTGAGGTCGACATCAGAAGAAATGAGATTTTTTGATAACCCATTTGTAACCTTCACCTTATGGCTCGCTGAATTCCTCCAACCCACCGTCCTCGCCATTTCCACCATTAACCTCAAAGGATTTTTCATGTTTTACCTCAGAGGATCACATCCATGGAAATGGTGAAAAGTAAAAAAAAAAAATGGCTGAGAAATGAAAACGGTAAATACAAGTTAATCTCAGGGAGAAACAATTTTTGTTTATTTCGGGGGCAATATAGACATTTCCGTGAAACTTTATATTTGAAAGTTGTGAGCCGTTACATAGCAGTCAATAGCTTGACTAACGGTCTCCAAACTACCGTTAATTGAAACCCTAGACTTTAACAGAGGGAGAAAATGCTTAGAGAGAGAGAGAGAGAGAGATGTATGTTCGCGAATGGGACGGCAACAAAAGAGCACTTGTGAACCTACTGGAACCGTGATATACTTGTTGCATAATGCAGAAGGTCTGCGCAATTGATGATTGTGTTATAGCAATTGAAAATTAGCAACTACAATACATCAATTGAGGAAGCACGATAGAGGTAAATCAATTTTGTTAGCGCGATGAAATTGCTGAATTGCTTCAGAGTTTGTTGTATGAATTATGTTAATTATTAGGAATTTATTGTATATTTTGAATTCAATTGAATATATGTGAACTGTAAAACCTTAATTGTTATTGTTGCGTTCCATTGGCGTTATGTTAATAGTATTGTTAGTGTCGCATGCAGATGGCGTTGTGTGGCTGTAACTATTAGTTGCATTTCAATTCGTATGAACCCAGATGACGTATAAATGTAGGTTTCCCTTTACAACTTTGTTTAAATGATCTCGAATGAATGAGTTTCGTATGTTTTTAGTTGTGGCAAAACTTCTCATTAGTATGTTGTTATATTTTGCTTATACCCTATATGTCCTCCATAGGTAGTGTGTTTATCAAATATTGGTAACAATGTGCTAAACTGATGATGGATGTGGATTGGTAAGAATGGTAATGTAGATAATTTTGCTGTTGTGGTCATATTCCATTGTGAATGTTACCAATGTTGGTTTTGTGGGAAAGTTGGGTTGTAGATATAATGTTTGGATTTTGTGAATTGTACAGAGTATGAACCGAAAGCGAAATTTTCAAAGGAAACAAATGTCAACTGAATTGTTTAAGGTAAGGATGTTGATATTTTTTGGTATATGAAAAACAGATGATGCAAATGAATATGTTATTTAAAGGGTGAAGTTGTTGTGTAGGATGATAGTATTAGTGTTGGAGGTAGTGTCAAGGCAATGGGTGAGGTTATCAAGCAACAAGGGGAAGTATTTGGATGGGTATGTTACGTTGTTGTTGGTTATATTTGGAGACCTGGTTGTTTATGTGTGTTTTGTTTGTCTTATATGTTTCCTTTAATTTGCAGCCCCCCAATATGAGTTGTCGTATTCAAACCTTTTCTAGAATATGCCGCACTTTTGATGAGAGGAGAACTCGTTGGGTTAATGAAATGGGATTTGGTGGGTTGTTGAATGTTCCAACTGAAATTCATTTACCCCGGCAATTGGGGGATTGGTTAATGACACGTATTGATCCTTTGAATAGGCTTCTAATTGCTCCGGATGGTAATGAGTTTAGGTTCTCTGCCAATCAGGTGCATTGGGTTTTAGGTATTCCAAATGGGGGTTTTAGTGTTCCAACTGGAAAAGCGATGTCGTTTGAGATGAAAGAAAAGGTGAATAGAATCGTACAAAAATACGGTCATCCAGCCAAGACAAATTCGCGTAAGTATGCAGGTCGTGTGTATACCTCTGTTGGCATCCCAGTTAATTCAATAATGATGGAAAGGGTGGAGGGTGAGTGGCAGGCTGATGAAGAGGAGGAGTTTAAGATGTTGTTCTTGTTGTTGTCATTGGAGATGGTGTTATGTCCTACGCAATCACCGAGGCTGGGTTGTGATTTGATCCCCGTGCTTACCTGTGCTATGAATGCTGCGTCATACAATTGGTGTGATCTAGTGTTGAATAAGTTGATGGATAGTGTGAATAGGTTTGCACGTCGCTTTTACTCTACTGGGGTTGTCGGGGGTTGTGGGGGTTGTACCTTTTTTGTATTGGTAAGCTATTTTATTTTGCAAACCATGCCGTATGCACTATATTAGTTTTGTTGTATGAAATTGTAACTAAAGTTGGTCTAATGCAGCTGTTTTATTTGGACAAGTTAAACCAGTTTCCTGTGAAATGGGGTGAATTCCCACGAATTAAGGTGTGGGAATCCTATGACATCAGTGTCGCAGCAAAAGAGGATCGATTTGCCGTAGGAGTTGATTTTGGTCAGCTGGGGGTAAGTGAAAATAACTGAGAGCCAATGTTGTATGTGTTTGCTGGGATTTAGTTGTTGTTGAGTGTTGCTAATATCTTTTACGCCTTGTTTTTTGTTTGAGTATACTCTAGATGTAGCATATGGGGAGACCCATCCGAGGGAAGCAAGAGATAGTAATGGGCCATCTTTTACTACTAAGGTAGAGTATTTATATATGCGCTGACGAGCTGAATCGAAGTATTTGATTTGACGAACTGTTTAATTATTTATGTCTGGTTGGTTGTTGTCCATGAATATGTTAAGCCTCCTGGGCATATGGAAAAAATGAAGCAGAGGCGGGGAGCACCGCCAAAGTCTTTTCCACATCAAGGCAAACGGCGGAAGCTATGTTTAGGGAGCACCTCCAAATTCTGTTAGTGTACGTTCTTTTGTAATGTATGTAATTTAATAGAAGTTATATTGAAAGGAATAATTGTTATTTGTTGAGTTTGGACTTATTCATCTGTAATGACCTACATTATAGTAGTCTTGGACTCCTGGTGTTATTCACAAAGTTATATGGGCCTATTATGTAATATAGTCTAACTGTCTTAGTGAGTGGTGAGTAGTAATTGGGCTGGGCGGCTGGGCCTAGTAAAAATTTAAAACAAGGCAGTTCAGTTTCAGTAAGATTGGTTTATTTACGTATTTTTGTAACCGGGTATTCGGGTACCCGAAAGTAGCATACTTTCTCCCGTGTCTCGGGACCCGGCCCGTATGAAAGAGTTAAATTTACAAAATTCACCAAATGCCATTTCCGTTAGTTGACCGTTAGTTAGACCCCACCATTTGCCACGTGTCACCTTCTGATTGGTCCGTTTTAAAAAAATATATATTTTAAAAAAATTAAAAAAAATAACAAAAATAAAAATTAAAAACTTTTAAAAATAGTAAAAAAATAATTAAAAAAAAATTACAAAAAAAAAAAAAAAAGAATTAAGAGGTGGCAGCCACCACCTCCTCCGTGACTGCCCACCCCAAAACCCTAGCCACCACCACCTCCTCCCTGACTACCCACCCCAAAACCCTAGCCACCACCACCCCTGCCGCCAGGGCTAGCACCGGCACCCCAAAACCCCACCCTCCTTTTCCCTCTCCGATTTCCGGCAACCCAAAACCCATCCCCTTCCCCATCAAGATTGGTGGAGGAGTTTATGGCCATTGATGCGAATGGTGCGAGATTGGTGGAGATCTCGGCGACGGTTTTTGGGGTCGAGGCTGGCTGTGTGGGTGGTTTTGGGGGTCGGCGGTGGATCAGGTGAGGTGCTATAGGGTCGGCCGGCCGATTTTTGTTGGTTACGAAGGTGGCCGGCCGTTTTCCGGCAATATAAGGGGAGGAGCAGGGTTTCGTGGTGGTGGCTGGGGTGGTTCAAGGTTTCTGTTTTTTTTTTTTTAATTTTTAATTTTTTTTTGTTTTTTTTTTAAATTTTTTTTTTAAAACGGACCAATCATAAAGTGACACGTGGCAAGTGGTGGGGTCCACTAACGGTCAACTAACGGCTATCAGTCATTAATGGCACTCGGTGAATTTTGTTAAAACTCGGTGGCATTTGGTGAATTTTGAAAAGTTCGATGGCATTTGGTGAATTTCGAAATTACTCAATGGCATTTGGTGAAATAGCCGTTAAATTTATGTCTATCAAGGGCAATGTAGACATTCTATCATGTGGCTAAAACAACTACACTTAACACTTTACTTCTTTTGAAGCAATTATTAGGAGTCACTTACTCCAATAAACCACACAAATAACAACAATCAATTTAATTCTTCTTTTTATTGACTTCATAATTTGTAATAAAACCTTTTGTCAAACAAGCCTACAGGAAGTTACTGATAATAATGGTTATTTAGTTGGTGCTAGGACATCACGTATATAGTAGTATGAATTATTGATATTAATTTGATGATATATCGATGACAAGATTGTGAAGGTTAGAGTAGTGAAGGAAAATACCAATGATGTTTCTTACATGATAAAGAGAGATTTTGCATTAGGAAGGTTATTGTTTGATAATTGTCAAATTGTAGGTGTTGATTATAATCTAAGGCGTTTAAGTTTACTTATCTTGGTAAGCAAATTTCTGAATTACCTACTCCTAATCTCCTTCAAATGGAAGATGAAGAAAAATGTTATTGATTGTTGGCCTGGGCTGATCAAACTGGTGGTCATCTTCTATCTACTATTTAATTCGTAACGTACTTTACCTTAATTAATAGATAATTAAAGATTAAAACATATCCTCATATCGAACTCTTGGGTCCTAAATCGAACACTAATATAAATTGTTCAGATAACTACGTGCAATCCTTTTAAGTCACAATTACAAACACCACTTAGTTGCCACAAATTCATCACTAACATGTCCATGTTCTAGTTAATGTACCAAAATCACCCAAAGTTGCATCACAACTACGGCCAGCAACAACGCAATCTCAATCCCACAAATATGCCAATCTAACACCATTGTCGAAATGAAGATCACCATCAAATTCAAGCAGAAATGCCTAAAAGGAAAAAAAGGAGGAAATTTGCAGATCACAATTTCACATCAATAGTGATAAAACTATAGACTATATCAATATGCCAACTTGCCAATCACAATCTCAAATCCAAACCAAAAAAATTGCCAATCACATTCATAATCTCAAATTCAACGAATAACATTTCACCATGATCAAGTGATAAAGGATTTAGCAATGTACCATAACAATGAACAACGTGATTACATCTAGATCCTAATTTAGCATTGTCGAAATACAAAAACAATTACGGACTTAACAACATATTTACCAATAGGGTTCGTTCATAACAGTAATTTAACCAAAAAGGTGAGATCCAAAAAAAAAACCATCCTTACCAAAATCCATTCTTGTCGGCTTCAGTAAGGACTCTTCCAGCCGTACATATCGGAGTCATAACTTGATCCCTGACTGTCTGCGTAGTAGTTCCCGTATCCAGAAATAGAGTCGTGCTTGGAGGCCATACCAGCATCTTCATTTTCTTCTTCTTCTTCAGGAATGTCTTCCCTTAGGGCATCCATTACTGGTGCAACTTGTTCTTCATTTCTGGTTTCTTCATGAGATTTTGAGATCTTCTCGTTCTCGGGCTGATTCTCATTGTCAGTCTCTTGATCAGTCTCTTCCGTAGTCTCTTCGTCTTCCTTAGTCTCTTCGTCTTCCTTAATTTGAGGTTGTTGATCTGAAACCCGTTGTTCCCCGATTATTACGACATCGTCATCTAATTCAGGTTCAGGAAAAAACCGTTCGACTTCACGGACATCTTCACCTACATCTCGCTTCCTTTTTCGACTCGATTCCCCTTTTTCCATTTTTCGCACCACAACCTGTTTACCATGTAGAAGAAACTCCAAGTGTTTGTTCATTCGCTTGTTAATTTCGGCAAAATAGAACAAAAAATCAGAAATTTTTTGAGGTTTTGTCTTGCTTTGATTTGGTATCCAAGACGGAGGGGTGAAAATTTCTCCGGAATTGGCAGTGCTGTCGGAGCTAGCCATTGTTGTGGGTTTTTGGAGGTTGAAGGAAAAGGAAAACTGATGAGTTGATGTGTAAGGGTCAAAAGTAGATGAAGGGACTTTATTAAGAAAAAGAAAAAACGAAAAAGGGGGCAAAAATAGAAAGAGGACCAATTAAGTTCAAGTAGGGTAATCATGACATCATTGGAAGAATAAAACGGAAGTTGTTTCTTCCAAAAGTACTTGCATGTCTTCAACTTATAAGAATAGGGACAAACTTTTGATATGTATCAATTTATGCATAGTATGTATGCAGACGTGTGTTTAAAATTTTTTCAGTACTGTTAATTATTTATATTAAAATACATTATTTTTATAATGGAGTATATTTACGTATTAAACATATACAATGTATTTCGTATTTATCGTTACTTTTTCTTAAAAATATTTCCATTACTAGTTATTATAATATAATAGGGCGTTTAGGGTATGTTGTTATAATTGGACATTTTAGGGTTTAGGGTCCACACTATTTCTTATAACCGATACTTTAGGTGTGTGTACATATATATATATATATATATATATATATATATATATACACACCAAAATATATATACATACATATATACGTTCTTTACATTGTGACGAATAAAATAAAAGTTGCTATTTTGAAAATATACATTGTGACGAATTTAACAAGATCCCACATGACTTTATTTTTCATTACGCATAAAATACAAAATACACTCAAAAATAGTATGTGAATAGTGTTAAAATCAAAACGTGTCTAAAAAAAAGGAGGTAGTACTTCGTATATTCGATTCGAAGGCTGTGTTTATTACTCAAGTCAATGGTCAGAATTCGTAATTAAAATTTATAACTCAAGTCATTGATGTTGTGGAAATGACTTATTTGATGTATGTTACATAACATAGTAATGTGATATCTATTATTCCCTTATGATCTTGCACGTCATTTTATCAAAGTTTTTTTTCTTACAACTAGTGTAATTAAATTTAATTCTATTACACTAGTTAAAAAAAAAAGTAGTCATTGTCAATATTCTTCGTAAAAAAAATCTTGGTAATCATTCAAGTAAGGAGTTTTCTAATGTGCGTTTGCAGCTAAAGACTTAAAAGATTCTTCTTTTAAAACACAAGCGGAATTTGTTAGCATGTTATGCATACAAATAAGTATGTTCTCAGTTCTGAATATAAAAAGTTTGGTCAAATATATTTTATACAAAGCTGACTTTAGTTTTTTTTTGTTTTTTTTTAATAAGATTGTGCTATGTATCAAACATATCGATTCATTTTTTAGTTTATTATTTTCACAATATTTTAAAGAAAGAATAATACAATCAAATATTGTCAATGAAATTACATATTTAAAGTATACTTCAATTCATTCTTTCAAAAAGTTTTCTAAATACTTGGACGTTTTAACCTAGCTTTTGCAATTCATTTATATATTTATTTATTGACAACATCGACATGTTAGCTATCTCTCATATATAGGGATGCATTTATTTTACTTGAATTCTTTATCCAAAATTATTATTTACATGATCTAAACTTATTGACCTTGAATATTATACGGAGTATTATTTATGAATACTTGTTATATTCATGACAAGTATTTACCAATACAGTAATTACCCCATATCAATCATACAAACAACTCTTTTTTCTCTTTTCTTTTGGTTGATTTCCTCCGAGTTTGCCTTAACTCTATTGCACGTTAAATTAATGGAGGAATATTTTTAATAAAGTCTCAAGAAAACTTAGTTAATAAAACCACAATATTATAAATGAATTTGATTTTGGGTTTATTGAATGATATTGTTAGGTTCATATGTAAACGATGAGCACATACCACAAGAGTAATCCCCATTCCCCCTTTTTAAGAAACGGCCACATAGTGTAGCTGCCAGATTTCGTGTTTCCTTAACACAAACACACTCCATAAATACCCCCCCTCTTACAACTATTTCATTCACACCAAAAAATATATATAAAAAATAGATAAAAAAAAAATAGAGAAGAAAAAAATTACGGAAGAAGGAAACGCAAGCAACAACAATAACCTCACATCATCCATGAAAAACAAGTCTAGAGTATCAAAACCAAGATATATACATACCACTAGTAATTGTACTAAGCTACTCGTAGTAGTAGTTTATATACATGGATATGATGCATGTTTTGGATTCATTCAATAGTAGTCCAAAACTTCTAAAACTGGAAAAACAAAGAACATAAGAAGTACATTGTACGGAGTGAATTAAAATAGTACTCCCATTTTTTTTATGTTTCCCCTAAAATGGTTTGCATTTGAAAGTATAGTTTAAGTAGAAGTTTAATTAACAAAAGGGGAATAAAGTCAATTGTACCATGCAATGCGATTTTGTAATAATAAAAGCACCAATAATATAAGGGGTAACACTGTTGACACTAACACAAATGGCAATCATGGTTGCCTTAAGTAATTAAGGATTAGGCCTTACTATGCCCAGTAGTACTACAATCTAGCAAGCATAACGATTTAGAACATATTGTCTTAATTACTACGCTAATACAAACGTAGGATTACGGTTAATATAAAATTACACATAAAAGTCCATGATTTAAACATACATTTGAAATGGCAAATCACAATAGACACCCCTTTGCTTCATCACTCTCCAGCAGCCTACTACCAATTGTTGTTCATGCATCTTGGGCAAACACCCTCCTCCGTGGCAGTGGCAGTGGCAGTAGCAACCTATTAACAAAACAATAAAAAAAACCAAGTACTTTCATTAATAAAGTAGTAGGAACTAGGAAGTAAATTGTCACATAATTAAGTTATTAATTAATAAATACCTTCAACTCCACTAGCATCCTTATTGGGTTGGAGTCCATATCTGTATTAGCAATGATGCACTACCCAGATTTGACCTTGTTGTCATTCCAAATCACTGCTACACCCCCTGCATTGCCAACAATCTCGTCCAAGAAATAATCAACTTCAAAATTAAAGGCCTTCACCACTTCCTTGAAAGAATTTAGACCAATTCTTGCTTCGGTTATGATGAAAATGATGAGGTTTGTGAACGGCCACAATTTGAAGGATGTTTGACTTAAAAGAAGGGCGACTAACACCACGTGCATTCCACACAACAATTGATGCACCTAAGGGAAATACCAAACTATCTTGTTTATACTTATCTAGGAGTGTAACATCCATGAACCTTATAAATGGTTCAATCCAAATCCTACTAGCACGAACTCTGACAGCGATTTCACTAATATCAAAATGCAAATAAAATGCTTGGAAACCATCGGAGTAACAGGCTAGTTCAGTTGTTACCTCCCTAGTAGTGAGTGGGTAGACAGGGCCCTCAATGGCAAACATAGGAGTAGGATCAATTATGTTGAGAAGGAAATCTGGGATTACCTCACTGACGTCGTGAGGATTGTAAATAAGCTCTTCCTTGTTGTCCTCTTCATTGAGCTTGTCAAAAAGCTCTCTCACATCAACCACACCCGCAGTATCAATAATTTTAGGAAGGTGTGCAGGCACAAAGTCTGCTACACCGAAACCAAACATGAGCATTCCATGCAACCTTGGCTCCCACGGGGTTTCAGGGCTCCTTATGATGTCCCTAATGCATTGGTCATCTATAATTTGAAGGTTTCCTTTTTTGGGGTTTGGTGACAAGTACATCAACATGTTAAAGTTCATTTCGGGTCGGATGTTAAGGTTAGGTTTGCGGAAAGAAGTTTTGTTTGGGGTAGGAACAGCGTAGCAGCGAGGAGGGTAAACCGGGTTTTCGGGATCAAAGGGTTGGTTGGCCATTGTGAATGTGTTTGAACAAATTTAGGGTTTAGTAATTGTAGAAGAGCTAAAGGATACTATATCCAAAGCAGTAACATTGCTTTTATACAGAAGCAAAAGGGGGTAGAGCACAAGGTTAGTACATGAATTGCCACGTATTCTTATAGTGACTTTTATATGAGTAATCCATATTTCTGGGTAATTAGGGTATGAAATATTTTGAATGAGGAGTACTAGATAATGATATATAGCACGTTTATTAAATTAAGACACAAGGGATGAAATGGTAAACAATGTAAATCCAATACTTATTCTACGGTTTATTGTAGAATAACATCACTTATAGAATTACCCATGAAATTTTTTGCCTAGCTACTACCCTACACATATATATATGGTTTGAACAAGTACCAGACACATTTACAAATGAAGTAGGATGTATGTCTTGTCACTTCACCAAGCTAACAAAATCTTCACCACTTTTTATACATAAGCTCATAATTAGGTATTTGGCGCACATGAATTATACTACACGAAATATATTTGCATCTTGTCAAGTAAGATATGCAACTTATCTTTTACATTGGTAATATAAATAAGGTCTTCTGTAATTGCCGAATAATATTTAATACAAATATTCAAATTAGGATAAGGTATAAAATGCTTAATGAATTTATTATGAAAATATGTTATTAGCAAAAAATATTAAAAAATCATAATAATACATACTCGTATATATATTTAGGTGTGTATATATATATATATGTATATATATATATATATATATATATATATATATATATATATATATATATATATATATATATATACACACACACACCATTATATACACATACATATATACATATACATATACATATATATATATATATATATATATATATATATATATATATACACACCATTATATACACATACATATATAGATATATGTATATATATATACGTATATATATATTATAATAATTGTATCGTTTTGTTTTTTATAATGAAATAAAATTAAACTAGTAAGAGTATGCAATTAACTTATACATACATTTGTTTTATGCAAACTATTAACGGTACAATAGTATGTAACCATACAATATGGACTACAATGTTTATCAAAGTGTTATAAAGGGTTGAGGCATTAGTGTATAGGGTTAAGGGTTAGGGGTTTAGGGTTTAAGGTTGAGGGTTTAGGGTTTAGGCATCAGTGTATAGGGTTGAGGGTTTAGGGTTTAGGGTTGAGGGTTTAGGGTTTAGGGGGTTTTACGGTTTAGGGTTTAGGGTTTAGGATTGAGGGTTTAGGGTTTAGGGTTTAGGGGGGTTTACGGTTTAGGGTTTAGGGTTTAGGGTTTACGGTTTACGGTTTATTCGTCGGCAGCCACAATTAAGAAAAACTCTCAATCTTCTTCAAGATTCTCTCAAGTATCAACTACTGCATATTCATCAAACATGGCTTTAGTACCAATCGATACCCAGAAATTTATATGTACAATTATTATAAAACGTGCATGCAATTGAATTCATTTTGGTTGGGTGTGCTACATTAGCATCGTGGGTTGTCTTGTGATTTCTTACAAACTATAATGACCAACACAATCTTGTAGCTAGTGTGGGTCAATTACAATCGTCATGCATGGGAACGGTTGAAGTTTTTAAGACAAAGAAAAACAATAGAAATTTAAAGAACAAATTAAGTACATATTAGTAGTACGAAAATGTTTCATCATATTTAATTATTTTTATAAGAATGCGTAAAAACTAATTTAATTTATTTTTAGAAAAACACAAATAAAACACTGCTATTTCCTTTAGGACGGTGACAGCCTACTTACTACGGAGAACCGTCAGCCATGCCCTATATTCAGCAGGATATCAATGATATATAAAACAAAATACATAGGTGGTACTTTTAGGTAGTAGGAAAGAAATAAAGTTTTGTTCATATCAAATAGCTTGTCAACAAGATTGTATTCAGTAGGATACATGATTCCTTCAGTACAAACTATGCATAAAGCAAAGAAAGGGTAATACATATGGGTATTTGCGTGATTATATCAAATTATACATTTTGGTGAAAAAGACTATTTTTGAAAAATAAAACATAATTCAGTAATTTTTTTTTATTTGGTTTTTTCCTATGTGTTATTGTAGTTGTTGTAGTGATTGCTACTTCCTCTGTGGCATAATTTTTGTCCCTATTTCCTTTACAGTTTAATCATACGAGTTGTTACACTTATCTTAACATGTTGATTCGTAATTTTGATTTAGAACCACTTAATTAATTAGTTACACATTATACTTTTGCAACTTAGCTTATTAATATTAACATACGTACGAAGATATAGTTTCGTGGAGGACATCATTGTTAATAACTTTAGTACGTTAGTGGAGTACATCACGACATTCACGGGGCATGTTTATGCCTAATTTTTATACGTGGATACTTAGTTTTATGCTTAATTGATCCGTTGTCGCTAGACTATCAAACATGCGTTAAGTATATATTGCATTAACGTTCATACTCTTCATATTGATCATTTTACATATAGTATAGCCGTGTAGGGTAAAAATGGTTTCCTATAATGGAAATCAAATAACTTAAGAGAAAGCATTCTTTGGACTTTACTATTGTAGTGATAGTGGAGGTAAATATTCTCGCCAATAAGATATCCAGCCAATTTACATCAAGGCCCTCAACATGTGGCAAAAGGCTATTGGGTAAAATGACATATAAATGTTCATGACTCTGTATGAAACCATGTTACTCACATTCGAATATTTTCTTTCGAGTAACACCCTTGTGTAGATGATCAACATGCCTTCAAAACCAAGAACTATGCATATCCTATCACCCTTAGGACGACATCATCCTCACACAATTCCAACCAACTCCACCCATACCACTCCAAAGTCAAACAAAAAAACACCGCTTCGAAGTAGGAGGTTTCATAAGAAAAAGAGCCTTCTGGCTACGATACTCAATCGGAATGCCATTAGGACCCTCCTGAAGCATAAGGTTGGTAGAGAACAACCATTCCCTAATAAGGGAAAACTGAAAGAACAAGTCGATGCTGGCTTAGCGTTGACACGGTCAATTGAGGCCATCAATAGAGCTAGGTTGCAGCTGGAAGATCCTTCTGGGACCGAATTAAGTGTTCCTGTGACGGAGGATGATGTCTCTGAGCCCTTAGAAGGCGAGGGGCCACCTCCCTTAAACCACACAATCCTTGTTAAGAGTAGGCAACGTCATGATACCGGCATTACCTATGAGATAAGAGATGATGAAACCTTTGAATTCATATACGTAGGATTATTCATCACGAGTTGTTGTTTCAGTCCATGAATTACTTATCAAGAAGCATGGCTTGTTAGTGGCACGTACTGCCACAACCACATCAGCCAGAATTAAGACCGGAGATATACTATATGTCTGTGGTGTGGTACGAGCTATTTATTGCAATGCAGTCCATACGAACTGTTGTTGTTATGATTGTTAATATATATTTCAGTATATACATGTTCAATGTTGTAATCTTTGACAAATAATAACCAATTTTTTGTTTTCCTAAATTCCAGGATCCCTCGAAGAACATGGACACAAGGAGGAAATTTTTCTACATGCGCACCACTTGCACACCTTGCCACGAAATGAAGGTGCAATGCAAGCTTACTTAGAAGCTTAGGAGGCTTTGCTTCAAGTGGGGTGAAGTGGTGGACAAGGAACCTAATACACTAATGCTTCTACACCAAGATAGAAAGTTAAATAGGGTGCTTACAGTTGGTGAGGCTAGCATAAAGAACGGAGACTACGTGTATGCTTGTCCAGAAATTTGACGTTAGTTGTTGTTGTTGTAGGCAAGTCTAATTTATGTTAGCCAACAATAGGGGTGAAATTAACGTAATTTATGTGGTCATTTTGTCACTTTTGTAGGCCATTTCAGTTATAGTGAAAACAGCACAACAATCGGCAATTATGTAATCTATACCCCTTTTGGTGTAGTATAGTACGGGGATATTTGCTTTGTTTTCGATTAGTTCAGTTAAATCGACAAGTTTTTGTCGTTCTAGTCGTGTAGGTTAACTGAGTTAATCTTAAGTGTCAAACTATTGGCTAACTAGGTTAATATTATGTATCGTACCGTGGGTAATTTAACCCGACTACTATTGTATTAGTTGCAGACTTGCAGTGTTAAAATTAACGGTGAACAAGTTAAAAATATTATAAAGCCGATCTTGAACTTTAGCAAAAGTTTGATCCCATGCAGCGCACTAATCCCGACTTATGTTTACATGCAAAATCAAAATTCTAAAGGTTCTGATCCAATGATTGAACAACTCAGATTGTAGTCCTTTGTTTCGACTTAACACTATTCTTTATAGCCACTGACTTACTGCTATTTGACATTTTCACCCTTATGTTAACCAAGTCATTAATTTGGTTATCCTACGATATCCATTTCGATCATTTTTCTGGAATTGTAATAATAATTTATAATGTTTCAAGTAAAGCCCTACTAAATATCAAATGAACAATCACTGAAAATAGGATAACATATTAAGACAAATTCTTTAAGTATGGCACGTACATTTTCTTTAATCTAAAAATGGTAAACATTAAGACATACTTCATCGTCCTTAATAAAACTTCTCCTAATCACATGGGAAACAACTATACACCCAATCACAATGAATTGATGCTTGATGAGTATTAAATTTCTTAATGAAAGAGCATTTGGTGGTCACTGGTCCACTCCTGGGTGGACATGTTGAGCTCAAAATCATCACATGGAACATCATCAGCAGGAGTGGCAGCGTAGAACTCAGTGTAAGGGTTCGGTTGTTTCCTCCTCTTCACCTGCAACAAAACCAGCATTATGAATGTATTGCCGAAAGAAGATATCATTTGGACAGATACGTTTGCAATTTCCATACCGGCATTTTAGTTGGTTGGAGTGATTCGTCTACATATCCTAAATGTGGTTGTTTCTGGGCTCTCTGTCAAACAAAGAAAATAATTACATAAGCAAATACTGCCCAAGTCAATGAATGAAAAGAATGGATTCACCCATACATACCATAGTGGCACCATATACATACCTTAGTGTTTTTCCCTTTGGCTGCATTGTATCCTAATTCAGACAACGTCTTGTTCCTTGACCCCTGTAGCCGACCTCTAGGCTTCTTTTGAGTGACTGGGTTGAGGATAGCATTTCCTAAACTTTTTCCTCCATTGATTTCAGAAGTGTTGGGTATACCTTTACTACCCCATTCAACAACGTTACAGTTCTTGGGTACAGACTTAGGAGTGCCTTCCGGTGGAGGTGGATTTGATGACCCTATTTCTGATCCAGGCCCATTTCTATTCATGAGTTTTGCACGACGCTCACTAACTTCTACTCGGATCTTCGTCACTGCTTGTCTAACTGCCTCAACTGTTTCGTCATCAACGGCAGCTGCTTCATCACACAATGCCTCAAGGTCTGGAATTAGCTTGTTGTATCGCACACATTCCATGGTTTGAGTAGGGTCATGGTAAGAAACTTTGACGCGAGTGTGCTTCCTTAACACATCCTTTCGCCACCGATTTAGAACAAATTCCGATGGAATTTCTGTCACCAAGTTTTCATCCCAGACTCTAATGACATGTTTACAAAGGATCCCATCCTTTTCAAACTTCCTACAGTCGCATGTAATTGTTTAGTGACAGGGTTAAAAATCAGTGAGTAAAACCTCCTGGAATCAGTGATGATTTCCTCATTTGAACCTTCTCGAACAACCCAAACGCGATCTAAAACCAAGTACTGAATTTCAACTTCACTGATAATTTTCTTCTCCTTGATCTGAACATATAACATCCTTGCACATTCTTTTTGAATTTCTTGAAACTTCGCATCAGTATATATTTTTTTAAAATACTGTTCCACTTTGAATCCACTCACAAGTCGTCTAATGTACTTGGAATCCCTTGCGTCAGCATCTTTCTCATCCGTAACCCGCTTCTTCATCGCTTTGTTATATTTTTCAGGAAACTCGAACAGTTTTGTTTTACGGGTGACAAAGCCATCGAAAAAACGGTTAATGCTCTCTACCCTCTGTGTAGTTTTCATACCTGCCCAAAAGTACTCTTTCATGTAAGTCGGCACCCACATGTGCCTCTCAATAAATAAATCTTGCAGCCATTCATTGTCCTCCAACCCATACAGCTTCATTGCTTCACACCATCGAGTTTCAAATTCTTCTACAGTGAAGCTGTCATATATTATATTCTTCAAAGGGTTGTTGAAATCATCGTACCTGTCATTGCATTCAAACAAAACTACGGGTTCACTATTTCACAAACTCAGCAAGAGAACTCATATTCTGGACAACAGTTAAAGGTTAACATGTATGCTAAATAAAATTAGAACAACACAAGGGTTGATCAGCAAGCATTGCAATATAATGCACAACAGCACTTCTAACAGCTTGAACAATAACATAAAAACCAATGACGACATTCCGGAATCGTAAAGTTAACTTAGCCTGCTGCAACAATGTCGTAAACCATTTCCTACTCTAGTTTCTTAACAAGGGTAACTTTATGACATTACATAAATAAGCCAACCAATTGTATTGTACACTTTAACTATAAATGAAAGTAAAGCCAACAAAAACAACTCATAACCTACAATAAACAGCTTTAACCAATAACAAACATTGAATGAAAATGTACCAAGGTAGGCAATACTTACAAGGCACACTTGCCAAGTTTCTCTGGAAATTTCCGCATAATATGCCATATACACCATCGATGGCGTGTATTAGGCATCACTTCAGCTAAGGGCTTCCGCATAGAAGCTGCTTGATCGGTGAGGATGGATTTTGGAGCTTTATTACCCATACAAGATACCCATTGTTCAAAGATCCATCTGTAGGTATCACAATCTTCCCTGGAAATGAGGGCACACCCTAACAGAATAGACTGGCCATGGTGATTGACCCCGACAAAATTTGCAAAGGGTAGCTCGTACTCATTTGTTAAGTATGTGGCATCGAAGCAAACCACGTCTCCAAAGTCTTCATAAGCAACACGACTCCTTGCATCCACCCACATGACATCTTTTAACCGACCATCATCATCCAACCTATTTGCATGGTAAAAATTCTGATTATCTGCTTGCATGTAATCAAAGTAGTCCATCATGGCTCGTGCATCTCCACCGGCCATCTTCAGCCGCCTTTGCTTGTACACTTCATGCTGAAGATCCTTAACACTTGGTAAGTTTGCATTCTCAGTGCCTAAACAACCAGGAATTTGGGATACGAAGAGACCTTCCTCAAAAAATTTAATCAACCTCCTTCGTACCGTTGAAGTCAACTTCTTCATACGATACTCTTTAACCAAATTTGCCATACTAGGAGATAGAGTATGAGTATACTCCAACACAACGGTTCTCAAAGTCCACAGCCCATCAACGTTTAAACTCCCATAAACCCTAGCATTGCACTCACATTTCTTCGATTTACGTATTCCACGTGCAAGCTCTGCCTCCCCTGTAGCCCCATTCACATTTCCAAGACTTCCCCCAATTTCCATGTACTTTGCCCTTGTCTTTGCCTCACGCATCGCCCTCATGTTGGGTGCACCCTAACATTCGCACCTCCAAGTTATTCCCCTTCTCACTTTTGTACTCGTGTATGATCCTTGCACTCTAGTAACGCCAAATCCACAATGCTCAGCATATGTTTTGTAGAACAACTCAATCTCCTCCCAAGATTTAAAAAGCATTCCAACTTTTTGAGGCGGAGCACAGGTAACCCCACTCCCCTTATTGGTAGGAATTGTACTCTCCAATGTCTGGATTGTCTCCATTGGGGAAGGGCATTGGGTTGGATTGCAAGTTTTGTCATTCTTAAACAACGTACTTGTACTAGATTCACCTGCCTGATCCCGGACATAATCCTCCAACTCAACTGCATTCACATCCTCATATTCTTCCTGCTCATTGCCATCTACTCCTATCTCCATCAAGGAACCAACCTCTTCACAGTCACTTGGAAAGGGACTTAGGCTATCTTCTCCAAAATCAGCCATCTTATGTAACACCTACTACCACATATATCATGAAAAGGTCACACATGCTGAACGAGTACACAACACAGTGCACTACAGCACACAATAATCATAATCCCAACTGAATGATTTCAGAACCCACTGAATAATTTATACAAAATCAAAACAACAAATGTAACACACGATTGAAAGGTATAGCCTCGGGAGATAATCATAACCAAAATCAAACAATGCGATTTCCCAAGTTACTGTAATCATTCATACAACAAAATATACCAAATTAATCACCAGAAAGGTCCAATTCCAAAGTAACCTAGTACCAATTACTAAAAATTGGGTCATAATTTATCAACTATGGTGAAAATACTCTAACATTTACCAAATTTAAACAACGAAATATATCAAATTAGCCAACAAAGGGTGCAATTCCACAGTTACGCACAACCAATTACCAAAAATTGGAGCCATACTTAAACAAATTCAAATCAACTATGGTGAAAATAAACTAACCTTTATCGAATTAAGCAACAAAATATATCAAATTAAGCAACAAAGGGTGCAATCCCACAATTACGCACAACCAATTACAAATAATTAACAAAATAAAATCAACTATGGTCAAAATAAACTAACCTTCACTGACCAAACGGTGCAAACTGGACACACACGAACACCACTGAAGATGAATACAACGAATTTCAACCACCAGGAATACGGGGGAACCACCAAGAAGCAAAGTTATTTTTTACTGTAAAATGCGATTGTGAATTTGTGAGAGAGAGTGAGGTATTTCCTGTTTCACAAAGTTTGCAAATTAACGGTGTCAAATTTTGATGTAACACCGTCTGATAACGGCAGAATGGGCCAACAGCTACATCGACTTTTTTTTAATTTAAATAAGATGACGTGGCAACACATGATTGGTGGGATATAAAAAAAACGTTGATCCCAGAGATTAATGGGGGCTCGCCCGAATGAAAGTGGTGAAACAAAAAAAAAACAAGGGTGAAAAGAAAAAAAAAGGAGGTTGTAAAGTGTAAAGTTATTTTGTATTATTCTCATGTATTATACTTTTTACCATATACAAGCTTTCTCCTTTTTTTTTTTTTTAAAGCAAAGTTTTCTTTTTATTGTTGCAAGGGCCCCATCTCGTAATTTCCATGCCCTGTTCTGTTCAATATGCATTTTTTTTTAAAAGGTAAGGAAAAAAGGGAAAGCGTTGGCACCTCTCCTCACGAGGGGAATGCCTAGCGCATCTGAGGAGATAATGGGGTATAATGATGAGTTAGTACAAAGAGTAATATCCATGTTATCACTAACAAGATGTCCTACATTTGCGATCCAATCTGCTACACTATTTGCTTCTTTGTAAACGTAATGGATTTCCCAATGGTGAAACTGCTGGAGGAGAGTCTGGATGTCGGTGATGATGTGGTCGATTTGCCATGGAGTAGACCAGGTCCTTTTTAGAGCATTAACAACAAGGAGATTATCGCCTTCAATGTGTAAATGTTGAATCCCGTGCTGGATAACGAGAAGAATGCCTTTGTGGAGAGTTGTAGCCTCTGCGACTAAGACGTTGGTGTTGCCAAGGTTGAAGGTGCGGGCTGCAATCAGAGTACCGGCACTGTCTCTTATGATAACAGTACACCTGCTGCTGCTGAATTGTTTTTGAGTGACCCGTCAAAATTAAGTTTGAAAGAGTTTAAAGGAGGGGCCTCCCAGGCTACTTGGCAAGGTGTGGGGTTTATGGGTAGGTAGTGAGAATGGGTTTGGGATCGTTGTATAAGAAACCCTGAGCTAAAAAAAGGTATCTATGAGAGTGCGACACTTCCAATCCTCAAGCGTAAAATGCGCTCGGTGGAAAGTTTGAGGGATATCTAAAGTGTCGTTTCTAAAAATTATGGAATTACGTTCTTTCTAAATACTCCATACTATAAAAATAAATTTAGTGAGCATAAAGCTATTATTTCTAAGGGTGTTTAGAATGGGAACCAAATTCCCTAGTGGAAGTGTACCTCCTAACCAATATACAGTTAAAGGATCAATTGTCTCTTGGAAGGAATTACAAAGGGCGCATTCTCCAAAAGAAATAATTCTTCTTTTTTGAAGCACGTCCCTAACCCCAAGACTGCCATGCAACATTTTCCATAAGAAAATTTGGATCTTAGGGGGAATATCTAGTTTCCATATCCAACGATGAGGCCCTTTAGGCATATCTTGATTAAGATTGTGCGCTATCCATGTGGCCGACTTGACCGAGAACTGTCCCGAAGGGGTGGGGCCCAATACTGGTGTGTCTGTCATTTCCCTATAAAGCAAAGGGATGCCCATAATAAGAGCAACAATATGATTTGGCAACACGGTAACAAGCTTGGGTTTGTCCCATTGCCTATTTAGAAGTATAAAATCTGCAACTCTTAAGTCAATATCCACTTGATGTCCTTGTAAGTGTAAAATTTCCATGAGGCTCCCATTAGTAGCCCAATTATCTATCCAAAAATAGATGTCCTTTCCATTGCCTATCTTCCATCGAATTCCTTTCGTAATATTTCTCTTTGGGCAAGGATAGCTTTCCATATATGAGAATCTTTTTTATTGTGGTGGTATTTGAAAAATGAAGAATTATGAAGATACTTATCTTTAATCATCTTGCCCAGAGATTAGAAGGGTCGGAGAGAATTTCCACCCTAGTTTTGTTAGGAAGGGTTTATTAAGAGGTAGCGTCCGTCGTAAGCCTAGCCCCCCGAGGTCTTTGGGTCTAAAAATTTTATTCCATGCTATTAGAGGGTTCCCATTCTTATCTTTTTGTTGTCTCCAAAAAAAAGTTTCTATGCAAGGAGCCTAGATTTTTAGCAACCTCTACAGGTAGGAAAGAGGAGGAGCAGAGATATGAGGATGACGCTTCTAAATTGCTTTGAATTAACGTGTGACGACCTGCTTTAGAAACATAGCTTGCTTCTCATTGTTGTATTTTTCTTTGAGTATTATCAATTTTTTTTTTAAAAGTCCTTTCTTAAAGGATAATAAGAGCTACAAAATACTCCTAAGTATCTTCCAAGTGAGGAATTTGGGGTCATGTTAAAGTGTGATGCGAGGCCTAGACGTCGCCTATTATGTATTTGTCGGGAAAATATTATAGAAGACTTATGAAAATTCACAAGTTGACCTGACATACTACAAAATTCATCAAGTACTCTTTTTAGGTTATTGCAAGCAGATGTTGTAGCTCCATAGAGTACTAGATTTGTCATTTGTGAAGAAAAGGCAAGGAATATTAACAGATCGGGGTGTAATCTTAAAGCCTATTCCAGACTTACGATTCTTACTTTCGAGGGATAATTTGCGGATAAGGACTTCCATGCACAAGATAAAAAGGTAAGGAGACAGGGGATCCCCTTGTCTCAACCCTCGTGTAGGTTTAAACCAATTTGTAGTCTCATCGTTAATTTTAAGGGAGTAGGACACTTTGGTCACACATTCTCAGATCAAATGAATCCACCTAGAGGGAAATCCAAAGGCAGTGTGGGTTGCCTAAAGAAAGTCCCATTCAATTCTGTCATACACTTTTTCCATATCCAGTTTCAAAGCACACCAACCTGTCTTATTTTTAGATTTATGAAAGGTATTTAGATTTCCTGAACTATTGTAGACCCCTGAAAATGTCTCCCCAAAACCAAACCCGATGATGAACAACCTTTCATCGCCATTATTAGTCGGGTCGAGTATTTAATCTCGGGAGTGCTTAAAACCCATGTTCAGTCAAACATATTAAGTCAACAAATCAGTCAAGCTCAGTCCAACTCATATCCTAGCCCAAACCCTTTTAATTCATTTCGTGTTATTTTTTAATTAAGCCCGATTAATAGATAATGAAAACCCTAAGCCTGAAATTAATCCGGAATAGCTGAAACGACGCATAATATATCACAAACTTAATTATTAAGCAAGGAATAAATGAACCTGGACTGTTTTCAGGAAAACATGTGCACCGTGTCATGGCAGACACACCGCGTCACGGTATTTTGCGCCGTGTAACGGTATTCCATGCCGTGTCGCGGCACACATGCCGTGACACGACATTTTTTTAGGGTTTTTCCGCTGCACCTTTTCACTTCTAGGGTTCCGTGCTTCACCCCACACATTTTCTCTATAAATACGAGGCTGATTTCCTCAGTTTTGGAGGGCACCAAAAATCATTCTCTTTCTCCCGGTGCAACAATCATTCTCTTCTCTCTTTAGCCTAAACACTAGCCACCCTATTCTCTCATAATACTTCCCCTAAGCACTCCAAGGAGTCCATACTTGATCCGAAGTTCTATACTTAAACCAAGGCGTGAAAGGTAGAATTAACTGAGGGTTTGGACCAAATCAACTCTACTTTTCATTTAATTTCATTCAATTTGATTTATTATTTACTGAAGTAATTAACAGCTTATTCATGATGTAGCAATTCAAGAAAACGCGGAACGTGAGTAGTTAATTCACTTAATTACTCTTTTTATTATTCTTGTTGCTAGTATCATGATTAGGTTTATCATTATTTGATTTGGTTAATGTTA